GGAAGCTAGCAGTTTTTCTCTCCAGGTTTTATTTAAATGTGACTATGTATTTTTTTTCAAATATGATTAAACACAAAAAGAAATTACATTTCAAAACAACTCTTATTATTCATTTTGGATAGTAAATTTCCCGGTGACACATAATGGTTTATATGCAATAATAGAAACTGGATGGATATCAAGTTTTGTTTGGTGTGCTCTAATCATGACACAGTGCCCTTCATTCTGGAAGTTTCCATCCTTTGAGTTATAATCTTTGATAGGGATCCTTAAATGGAGGTTTTGTTTTATTTATTCAAAGTTTCAGAATTCAAAAAAATATTTTCTCAGGTACATTACATAAAATGAAGTTGGGAAATAGATGTGTTGAGAAGCATACAGAAGATCAAGAAATAAATACACAATCAGAAGACCCTTGGAGAGGAATGAAGGAAAAGAACATAGAAAAATGCAAGGGTCTAGGCTATTGTGTATTAGAACAAAGATTTTACCACAGTCTGAATATTGAGAAAACTTTGAGTCCAGATGATGAAAAAAGGAATGTTATCACATGAATTTTAAATTATTTTAGTCTAAATTCCCATTCTATAGCTTATTAACCTAAGATAGTTTTAGCATATGAGTTATACTTTATCTTTTGTAAAACTATCCTTCTCTATGGATGCATATTTTAATATATGCCATATTTAATATTGAATGGTTTATGTACATTCAATATGTAATATTTAATATTCTTCTGTGTGCAGGTACGTGCTTTGGAGTGTTTATATGTGTGTGTATGTGTGCGTCTGTCCCACAGGGACGCTGGAGCAGTATTGCACTGATAAAAATTCGTTTCTGTCCATGGAAAAGTTAGTTTAACTTTTACTTCATCTCCTGTGTTTAAAATTAATGTCTTTAGGAGTTAACCAAGACTTTAGATTTTATTTTCATTGTGAACATTAACGAGTTAAATTTACTAAATTGTATTAGGATTATTTTGTAATTTTATTAGATCTGACTTGTGTAAAGAGACCATTGACTGAAAATGGTTTGACATGCTAATAGATTGTATGCTATAAGAAAATATTGCTTTCTATTGCTACTCCAGAACTGAAGTTTCACGTACAATTACTAGCTACAATATCACCTACTTATTTCTAAAAGATTATCAAAAGAAATTCATGCTATTGACTCAGTTACTCCCATATTTTATTATTATTATTGAAAAATCACTAGAACTAATTCTATTAGTTTCTTTCCTGATTGAAAATATTTGAACCTAGGATGCACAGTATTTCTTGAGACATTTGTAACTGTTCATCATAGATATTAAAATTACAATCATGCTGCATTGTGTGCACAATGATTTTTTTTAATCTTTACACATATGGTAAGCAGATGACCAGTGCTATTCAGCTTGAAGATGCTGAGTGCTCTTCTAACTGGTATTTGAAATTTTGATTTGTACTGCATTCGTTACTGAATATCAGGAATACATTTTTCGCTTGTATAGAGCAAATTTAAAATGGGGTCTTTTGTAGAAGTACCCATTCTGTTTAGAGTGATATAACAGATGCTGAATGTTCACATATCAAACAAAATGCCAGCTTTCTGTAGAAAAGAGGTGTCAAAAAGTTTCTTTGTACCTTTAACGCATGTGATTATGTAGGACAAAATGCAGAGTTTGTAAAATTTCTTGAATATACAGGCAAAAAATGAATAATTCAAAACAACTCATAAGTTCTACATTCTATTGTCCCTTTATAACTCAGGCAGAAGATAGCAGTGTGCTCCCAATAGAGCTGAATTTGCACAAGTTGCACCTCTGAAAATGCCAGATGGTCTATGGTCTACTTTTGAGAGCTGTCACATATGTAAAGATTTGAAAAAAGAAAGACAGCTGAATGAGAGCAGTGGATCATTAAAGGAATAGCGCGGGTCCCTAGGCATCACTTGTGTTTTAAGAAGTATTGTATTGTTCCCATATTAGCGTGCTTTTTTTTAAAGTCATACACAACTTCTATACAACAAGGGGAAATAAATCTGCATTCAACCAAGTAGTTGTGGTTTAATCCATTAGCTATTTTTGTTCTTTATTTGAAAATAAAATCATGTTTCCTACTTGGTTTTAATTAGAACGTTAGCATAAGATTAAATTAGGAAAAATGATCAACAAAGTCAAATTTGATGTCTGTTGAGATAACTAATATATCTACATCTTATCCTGTTTTAGATTGTCTTACTAAACACATCTGGCAAAATCATTCAATTAAAAATTGTTTTAATTTAAAGCACACCAAAGAGATCATACTCGATTATTTAGCTATAATACAAAATAGTGAAATATAATAGGTGCTAGAGAAACAAAACATATAGTATACTATTGTTTATCTGGAAATAGATACGATTTTGAAATGTTTTTAATAAGTTTTTTATTGTAAAAATACTGTACAGAGAGAGGGGTTACAGTTACATGAGCAAGGTAATGAGTACACTTCCTATCAAGCATTGTTGCCTCCTCCTTTGTTTTTCCCCTACCATCTCTTCCCTCCCACCTCCACAACTACACTCCCCTCCTACCTAAATTGTAAAGTTCGTTTTTCAACAGTGTCTTGTACATCTCATTGTTACAATGGGTCAACCTGTATCCCTATTTAAACATTTTGTTTTTTCCCTTTCCCTCCCCAAATTATGAAGTCTGAAATGTGAAGACGGCTGTTGTACTACTTCTCCAACCACGTTCAGTAATTTGAAACAAGTCAATTTTAATAGTGATAAAAGTCACACCTGTCATTTTAAGAATTTTGTGACAACACACACTTGTCTTTTCATTACCTTTATTTTATTTATTGAGAATATTTAAGTATTTCACAATAATTCTAAATCTATCTTCAATTGTGATATTTTAGATTTATAAGATAGTCTTTCTCTCATTGGTCAATGACATTCAGACTTAAGCAAATTCTCAGATTGCTTGTATTATTTGTTTAGAGAAACCATGACCCTAAAATATTTAATTCATTTGGAGAGATTATTAGAAATGCTCTGAAAAGACTACCACAATAGGTCTAACTGTCTTCTTTGGCGTCGCATAACTAGCTCTAATTTCAATAGCAGTCATTAGAGTGTCAATTCTAGTTGATACAAGAATTTATAGGAGTAGCAGATAACTAACCTCTAGATAAAATGTTGTGCACCCATGAGAAATAGTTCTCCTCTTTTAAACATCTTGATTGAAGCTCTGGGTCATGAAAAGGGTATGGAGAGAGCTAGGGAAGGGATGACATTGTACAAAAAGAAATGTACTCTTTATCTAGCTTATGAAACTGTAATGTCTCTGTACATCACTTTTATAATAACATAAAAATGTTTTGTAAAGAAAATAGGGAAGGAATCTTTTCTTCTGTTTCTTTTTCATCTGAATTTTGGAAAAAAAGGTTTTGATACCCTTTCTAGATAATTATTTCCTTTTATCACTTTAGACTTGGAAAACTATGAGGATTAGTTTTATAAATCAGGTATTAATGCTAGCAGTCTTCCATGCAAGCATGGAACAACACCAAACATACAACAAAAAGGACTCTGTTCTCTGTCTTCAACCATGCCCATGAGTAGAATATTTTGATATGAGAAGATGATTTTCTTCATATAGAATAGGTAAATGAGAACTGAAGTAAATAGTGTGCTTAAGATTTACTCAAATATTACTGTCCATCTCTTTTTACCAAAGCTCCCTCCAAGTCTTAGCTGGTCCCCAGATGATTATTACCCCCCTCTCTCTTAAACATTTGTTTGCACCATGCACAAGTGAGACAGCTTTGCATGCAATACTTAGAATGTCAATGAATTCTTAACAGCCATGTGTAATTTACAACTTTTAGTAGTTGGTCATCATAAACTAACTAAAATAGCAACTTTAGATTTTGACATTCTAAGAAGTTATAAAGCAGTAAAATTTCCACAGTAAATATTTTTTGTTGCTGTCTTTTTTTGGCTAGAAAGCTTTGCTTAAAATCTATACAGTTAGAGAAAATGTTGATTTTAATAGTCTCTTAACTGATATAAAGTGGTTTCCTTTGGTTGGGGAGATGGGAAACTGATGGAAATGAAAATGAAAATTTTAGTTAGTAAACCCAGAGTCTATTTTTGTGAATTTAAATAAAAAATAAATTTCTTTGCAGCATGTAGAGGTTTCTGAAGTCCCACAACCAAGGATCACACCCATCCATTCAGTAGGATTTTCTCATAATACCCTACTTTATTAGGCACATTTATTAGGTCATTTGTTTGCCAGGAAGTAGACATCAGAGCTGTGCCCCATTTCCAAGGCCAACAAATACTTATCTACTGACTGTGCTGAGTGGCTTCACTTCTCTGTTGTGGTGGACATCTTGGACTGGTCTCTTGTGAAAACAAGGTGGACATTTCTTTGGCAGAATAGCTCATATAACCTGTCCCAAGCCACAAAGGACTTTAGCTCTTGACCAAAATTTGTGAATGTGTCCAGAAACACGAGGCAGCACAGAACTGATTAATATTCATTATATATATATTAATATTCGTTATATATTTTCACTTTAAAAGTTATACGTTCCATATTAGCACTTAATGTATCTGAAATTGTTTATGTGAGATACACACATGTAGATGCCTATGCCTATCAAGTTTCATACTGCTTTAGTGATGGCCATTTTATGTAAGGTTTCATATCTACTAAGTCAAGTCCGTTCACTCTTTCTTCCTTAAAATTTCCCCAGTTACTCTTGATTATACTTTAGTCTACTAATTTGTACTTCTTTTATCCATTTCATTATGGCAGTGTTGTGTACTTTCCCCTAATTTTCTTATAGATGTGTTCTCTCTGTATATGTGTGTATGTGCCTCTCTCTCTTCTGTCTTTTGTATCATCAATTTTAGTGTCATGAGTAAATCACATCTTTATTATTGAATATATTTTCATTACTTTAAAATACAAATTTCTTCTTAATTAGATGCAATTTTCCTGTTTTTAAATTTAGCCCAACCCCAGCGTCTGCCTGAGCCACAGACTTCAGTTCAGGAACCCAGTGAGGAAGAAACAGGCAAGATAAAGAATGGCGGCCACGCAAATCTGAGTAATGGAAATGGAATTCACCATGGGACCAAACATTCCTCCACAGATCATCGCAAACTTTCAGCTCCTGTTTCTCAGAAAATGCATAGAAAAATACAGTCCAGCTTGTCTGTAAACAATGATGTCAGTAAGAAGAGTAAAGTAAATGCTGTCTTTTCCCAAAAGACAGGCTCTTCACCTGAAGGTAAGTGTAAAGTATACGCATATTTTGTTTAACCTGATGTTAAATAGCATCCACTAGTAATAATTTGATAAAGCAAACAAGGTTGAACATTTTTGCTTTTTCCTTTTGACAAAAAGAATTTTCTTGGTAAAATGCTTCTTTTCCAAAGCAAAGTACAGGATAGAAAAGATCTGGCAGCTGACACCCTGCTTTTAGATGATCATCTTCCAGAATGACTAGTCATTACTTTAAATATAACTTCCATGCTTTTTAAAAATGCCACATTAAAGATATGAATATGCTATTTTGGCGGTATGTCTAAGGATGTGTATTATTCTGTCCCTGATACAATATGTTGTTCTATATGGAAGAAATAAGATTACTTACTTAGATTTTTGTCTTCTTGATATGTAAAACTGGAGTGATAAAAAAGATTGGGTAGGGCTGGGAAGGTGTCTCAGTGGTAGAGTGCTTGCCTCACATGCATGAGGCTCTGGGTTTGAATCTTCAGCACCACATAAGCCGAAAAAACCATAAGTCGCACTGTGGCTCAAGTGGTAGAGCGCTAGCCTAGCTAGAGCTGAAGAGCTGAGGGACAGCGCCCAGGCCCAGATTTCAGGCCCCACGACTGACAAAAAAAAAAAAGGGTAATTTTCCTGACCTTTCTAGAGAATGGAGTTGAAGGTTTCTGTTGCTTGCTAACGATCATCTTTTTGCCATCATTCCACCCAAATCCATTTCTGTCCTGGAAATTCCTGAGGATCTAGGATTATAGGCGTGAGTTACCAGCACACAGTTTACATATACTTTTTTATACAGTTCACTGTATCATTTTAAAAAAAATCCCTACCTATCTATTTCTCTCAGCATATCTACAGTCCTATACTCTTCCTCTTTTCTGCTGTTAGTTTTTATTAAAATTCTGAATATTTTATGTGCATTTGCTATGTGTGTGTCATATATATTTATGTATACATTTGGCATGTTATATATTTATACACACACACACACACACACACACACACACACACATATATATATATTAGTTTCTCTATGTTTTTATTTTAATTGCCCTAAAACATTATTAAATAAAGGAAATTCTGTGAGGTCCCTCTGTGAAGTTGGTCATGTCTGTTCATAGAACTAAATTGAGTTGTAAATAGGAAATTGTACTGAGAGTTAACAGTAATGAGCAGGAGAAAGGATAATACATTTTGGCTACAGGTGTCTTAAACTCAACTGAAGCAAAGTGTTAGGTTGATCAAAAGATATGATAATAAATGGTCTGCATAGTTCCAGGTCAGTGACACTACTTTCCAAACTAATTAGATTGAAAAGGACATGATTGACATTTTAAAATGAGTTTGACATGTAAGCTGCATGGTCATCTCTGAAGTGTAGGTAGGCTGTTAACTAAACCGGCTCTCCAAGGAGCTGAGAAGCCAGTGCAATTTTCTTTGGAGGATCTTCACTTCTAGGTGATTGGGTGAAATAATTGAATGCAATTGAAATCTCCTTGTTTTATACATTTGAATTTAGTTATTCTATTCTAACCTCTTATTTTCCATTTGATATTTACTTACGTTAGTGTTTAAGAATGGTAACATTTGCATATTAGTCCAACTTGAAATAGCTTACGGAATTTTTTATTACGGCTTGCTTAAAGTATCGTATCTGAATTTATTTCTAATATAAGAAGGGGCTTCATATGTAATTTGAAGGAGGAGGTTAATCAACAATGTAGAAATGAAATATAGCTCTATTCTTCTTTCTTTCCCAATCCCCTTGAAGACCCTTACTCTTTTTCTCCTGTCTTCTTTCTCTTCTTTTCACTCCCACCCCCAATTCCTACTTACCATCTGATCACAGAGAGCTAGATAAGTAGAGTCCCTTGAAATTCACTCTTACCACAAAATAACATTTCAAATTAAGTTGGGAGCATGAGGAAATCAAAATACAAATAAAAGTGCTAAATAAATTGCCCAAACGCCGGTAGCTGTAGGCTATAGAATTTTGCCAAATGTAGGTTCCTGTTATGGTTACTAAATGTTGGATCAAAATTCTGTTGTCCTTTTTCATACTTTCACAAAGTTAGATGGCCCTAATTACTATTGATATTAAGCATGTATTTCTCTGGATTTTGTTTTACAGTTACATTTATTCTTGGGTAATGTTCTGTACCAAATAGGCAAATTTACAAAAATGACAAATTAAAAGGAAAAAGATTACCAACTAGAGGGAATGCGTGGTTTCACTTAGTTTTTCTATAATGACTGATTTTTCTATAAAATAAATGGCTGATTAGATGATTTTTAAGGTTACTTTTGGCCTGGAGATTTTGTGACTCTCTTTAGCAATGGTTTTTCTCTCTCAGAATAGGCCTCTTGCTGTGCAGAATATTGGATCCCTTGTTTCACAGACACCAGAGATCCAAAATACTCTGAGCAGAACAGGAGGACTGGCAGAAATAGTTTAAGTGAATTTAATGGTACCAGACTGGTCTTGATTTGTTGCTTAAATAAAAATGAATAGAAATCTTTATCTCTCTTTTGTAAAGCAGTAACAATGGAGAATTCTTTTTTTTTTTTGCTAGTTTTCTCAGTTTTTATTTTTTTATTTCACATTTTTTTGAGTTTTCATTTTCTGTTCCTGCTCTTGTTACAGCAAATAAACCAACAAATCACAAATAATAGTTAAGAACTTAAAAAGCAGCAAACCACAGCCAGTTTGGTAATAGGTGTTACCTTTGGTTACATGGATTTTCTGATTGTGTTTTTTTTCCTCTTTTGTGTAAATAATATTGACAACTTGAAGGGAATCTTTGTGTTACTGATAATGGATTAAACATGTCAGTATTTGGTAGTGATTTTTTATTTTTATTTTTTTTACTTAATTTTAATTTTATTTTTATTAATAAGTTTTTTTATTGTGAAATACAGAGGGGTTACAATTACATGAGCAAGGTAACAAGTATATTTCTTATCAAGCATTGTAACCTCCTCCTTTGTTTCCCCTTACCATCCTTGCTCTCCCATATCCCCCTAACCCCGCCCCAGCCCCCAACCAGCCAAAGTTGTAAAGTTTCTTTTTTTGACATAGCATCTTGTACATTTCATTGTTGCAATGGGTCCACCTGCATTCCTAGTTAAATACTTTGTTTTTCCTGTCCCCTCCCCAAATTATACCAACATCAAATACAGTGAAAACAGGGGTTATACCGTGGTTTATTAATAGACTGTTTGATAAAGCTATTGTTAACTGTAGGATTCTGACACAATTGATCAGTACTTCCATAATATTCAAAATAATAGACAGACAAAAAGAGGTTAAGCTGAAGACTGTATTGAGCAGGTGTGGAAAACTGTTAGTATGAAGCCATTGTTTATATGCAGGTAAGGATTGCACCAGCTGCTTAACTGAGAGTATGCATTGGTCAGCTATTTTAGTATGACTTGTCCCTGTGAACCTAAGGCCTTAGTGCTGGGTTCATTTGTGTAGCTAGCATGCTTTCTATGTAACAGGATCTATTCCACTTGCTTCACTCATGTAGATTTACTTCAATTTCCAAACAATTCTTTACTTAATTATAAAGGTAAAGGAGGAAATGGGGGCCTACAGGGATTCAGTGAAGTCACTTAAAGCAACAATGCAAAGTTGAGATTCAGAGACAGACATTCTAGCTCCATAGTCCATGGACCTCACTTTTATTCTATTTGATTTATTAAGGGTCAAAGGTTTTCCTCCTCTGGAGATTTTAAACTCTCACGCTGGTGCTGCTCTACATTTGGTTTTCTTCCCACTTGGCTGTGAATTCTTGAAAATGCTTAAATGGGTCTGAGTCTGTCTTTTGTTTAGAAATTGTCAGTGGTGCTCAGCATAATAGTTCCACAGAATGACCCATGAGTTAGCAAGTGACACATGGCTTTATTCCAAACCACTTGATCTTGCCTTTCCTCGAAACTAACACTGAAAACTCAAAATAATACTGAAAAATAAAATGCTAATATTCACTCAAAAAAGATTCTTTTAAAGAGTTCTTTTTTTTACAGAAGAGGAAAGAAAGTACTCATGGGAAAAATATTGAACATTTTACTTTTAAGCTTATTAAATTAGTAGATTTCCACTTATTTTGTATAATTAAATATTTTCATACATACTTAAAATATCTGATTGCATCACCCAGGTGGAGAGTTTTAAAACTAAATGTGTAAGATTCTTGACCTTTGAAATAATTATGGTATAATTTAGTATCATATAATATTCAAATTGCCAAGGGTTTTCATTACACTCTAAGACACTTTTCTTATCATAGGAGTGGTAACTCCTAATGTATTTTAGGTTCGCCAGTTATAGCTATATTGTATATAGCTATAATATTTTGTAAAAATTAGGCTTCAACAAAAATATGCTTAATGAGATTTTCCACTTTTCAGGAATATTTGATAGTTCATTTCTTATGCTTGCTTCACATTTGATCTTCTGGATTTAGTATTTATAGAAAATGATGCATCCAGTTTTAGCATAGCAGTGAACCTAAATGCTGAAGACCACAGTCATTGAAGAACGCTGGGTCAGTAGGGGTCTGATCATCTTTTTTTTTTTTTTTTTGTCGGTCGTGGGGCTTGAACTCCGGGCCTGGGCGCTGTCCCTCAGCTCTTCAGCTCAAGGCGAGCGCTCTACCATTTGAGCTACAGCGCCACTTCCGGTTTTCTGGTGGTTTATTGGAGATAGGAGTCTCATGGTCTCTCCTGCCCGGGCTGGCTTTGAACCGTGATCCTCAGATCTCAGCCTCCTGAGTAGCTAGGATTACAGGCGTGAGCCACCAGCGCCCGGCGGGTCTGATCATCTTTAATCACATAGCAATAGAGTGGTCCAGTCACTAGAACAAGACCTTGGGATCAGTCAACATGACTCTACATGTTGGCATTACTACTAATTTCTCTTGGCAGGTCACTTAACCTTTTTATATTTCAATGTCTTATCTTTAAAATGGGTATTTTATTAGTCTTCATTACTTAGGA